GAGTCTGAATGCTCACTGCCGAAAACCACTGCCTCAGCTGATAAGGGTGGCCAAAGCAGGGGCTTGGAATTTTCCAATGACATATTACATTCGTTTGGTTTTATAAATTACTTTAATAGTAACACTTTTTAAAGTGTAAAACTATACCTGTGTCTATATATTTATTTATCGATTGGTATTCAGGCCTCATAATGCAGCATTAGGTTTGCCCCATAAAGGCTTCCCTCAAGATAGGCTGTGAAAGAGTCATAGTTGAGCAGTTGTTTTGGGAGTGGCATGTCATTTCAGGGCGTTTCCTAGGGCTTTTGTTGACCTATTTCTTCTTGATCTGAGCTCATAAGTCTCGAGGCTCTGTGGTGGAACTTTCAGGTGGATCTCCTTAGAACTTATTTGCCTTGAGATAAACCCACAGTGAAACCCAAGGAGTCATTGACGTGGAGGAGCATGTCCAGCACTTCCTGCAGGCTCAGCGCTGCGTGAAGTCCTAGGGGAAATGCGGACTCAAAGGCACAATATGATCTTTGCCATGACACACTGAGCTATGATGTAAAAAGTAGTATTCAAACACTCATATTTGAATACTAATAAACTATATGTACAAAACAAATTATATAAATGAGACCTCAGTTTCTCTATTTGACATAGACATAAAACTAGTTTTGAGGCTGCCAGTTGAATTAAACAAGAAATATATAAGATGACACATATAAAAGTATTGATATAATTGCCTCCTGAAACATAGTGAATCTTATTTTTCTTCTGTTCAAATAATAAAAATATCCTTGAGAAGCAAACCATAGGTAACTTCGAATGACTTAACATTGTGTAACGGTACAATACAAAGGGATTAATGAAAACCAAGTGTTGGAAGAGAAGTGAGGAATATTTTGCTGGAATTTTGCAGTGAACTTAGACAAAATAGGTGAGAGTCTTTGAACAGAAGGGAGCAGGAAGTCAGAAAGGTCTTGCTTCCTTGTGGAAGGATGGCAATGCCAATACAGTACCGCCATTAGACACCCGAGCCAAAGCCCGAGAGGCTTTGCACAGAATGGGTGTTGGGGGAAAGCAGTCTATCAGTGGGAAAGCAATCAGATTTTACAATAAAGTCAATTAATAAATAAAAGCCCCATTTCTCTTCTCCAAGGAGGACCTACCTGAAAAGTACGCTGAATGGATTTCCATTGCTAAAAATCTGCCTGAGCTGATTGAGTGTGATAAATTACGAGCAAGAGTCAAAGAGGTTTGAACTATGTATTATGTAATCATCTCCTTTCATGGATTCTTAGTATTTTAAATTTGGTCTTGAAGCAAAATCTTTCACCCACACTGATTTGAGTCAACCACTCCTTGTGCTCTCAGGTGCCTGAGCTCAGCATTGATGACCTCACAGGGCACAAGTCGCAGCGCCTGGCACATCTGGCCCTAGGGTACATCACCATGGCATATGTGTGGAATAAAGGTGGTGAAGATGCCTGTGAGGTATGGAGTTCTTCTCATGTTGCTTGTGCTACCTGGTGGCATTCCCATTTACATTTAAGCTAGTTAATTCTCAAAGCAATATAATGACATTTTTCCTGAATAACAGAAAAATAAATGGGGAAAATAATCCAGTTACTTAATTTAAATTAATATTGACTATTATAATTTTATTTTAGTCACTTATTTAAATACTATAACAAAGTGACTTTTCCTGTCCATATACATAATATCTTTTTTTCTTGTAAATTATAATTGAAATACTTGTTTTTCATTGTTACAGATGTAATCAGCAGCATTTGATATAATGCTAATTTTTCAATGAGTTTCTAAACTCTACTTAATCCTCTACTGTTACTTTGCTTTCCTATTGTAAACAAGGCTACATTAAATATCTTGTAAGTTTACACATTTTCTCTAGTAATGACTTTTCAAAAGTGTAAACACTTTGGGGATCATATTAGGTAAAATTAGGGCAATGCTACATTTGCCAATATAGAAAAAGATTTTGACTTTACTCTAAAAGCACCAGAATTAGCTAACTTTGGATTTTAAATGGTGTATTTAGTATAGATTTGTATGTTAATCAAACTCCTGTTTATATGTAAGCAAAACTTATAAGTACAGTCATTATGAAAGTAATCTTTCATAGTAATTTCACACTAAGGGATAGGTATAAAGCACATGAATACATGAAGTAAAACAATACCTGCAGACTAAGTAGACGATCTCTGTTGATTCTCTAACCAGTAGGGCAACAAAGGCCCTATATTCTCGTTCTTTTATGTATACTTTATTCAGTAAGAGAAGCACAGGATATCCAGTGAAATTTGAATTTCAAATAATCAATATGTTTTGTTGTTATGTAGGCCCAATGAATTATGCAAATTTACTTAGGCATTCCATTTGATATATTGCACCCTCGATCTCATGAAACGAAGACAGCCCACAACGCCTAAATTTTAAACTAGGAATAAGAATACAATGTCTGGAATCAGCTTTTATCGTTTAGTGGAAGTTCTTTTCTATGAACAAAAGCAATTGACATTTTATTTAGTGGTTTCCTTTTTTTTCTTAAGCTGCTTAAAGACAGAGAAGCGCTTGCAGTTCACTTCTCTGATGAATCGTTTACAGAAACGAAAAGAGGAATATGTACCTTGTAATCATGGGGACACTTTACACTTCCTCATATTCATCAACAGGAGTTCTTAATGGCACAGTGGGTTGTTTGCTCTGTCAACAAAAAGTTCAGTAGTTTGTAAACACCAACTGTTCTATGGAAGAAAGAGGAGCCATAATCAGTTTCCCTAACAATTAGAAGATTTACATCCTCAGAAACCCTATGGAACAGTTCTACTCTATCCTATAAGGTCACTATGAGTTGGAATCTTATAGTGACAGATAGATTACAGTCACCCAACCTACTGAACATTTCTCACACACACCTAGATTCTAAAATTACACTAAACTAAGGTTAACACTAGCTCTGGTTTTATAATCAAATGTAAACTATAGCTAACCACATAGTGTTAATAACTAAAAATTTAAGACTCTAACTAAGGGTATAGGGACAAGATAGGAAAAAAGAAACAGTAGTTAAAGGCAACATATGCTAAGAAGAGAACAAGGTTGACTATATTAGTTGAACTGATGGTGTATTGCTTGAGTAAGAAGTCGGTCTTCAATGACAACTTAGAAGATGGCTAGACTGCAGACAACAGAAAAGGAGCAGAATAGCACCAGGAGATCAGAGGCAAAGCCTGTGAGACTAACGAGTACATGGCACAAAGAGCCATGAAATTGATCCTCCAGGAGATCTGAATTACTTAATGTATTCAGCTTTTGTATCTTTTATATGTATCAGAGGATCTGGTATGGCAAGTGAAAAACTTTTTGAAAAGACAAAATAAATGGACAGACAATAAATCAACATATGGCCTTTTTTCTTGAGAATAGATAAGAATTAACACTTGAGTTTCTTAGCAGCTGCACATTTGCTTTCATAAAGCTATATGCCAAATCATATCAGGGTAATCATTAAATTCCCTTCAATTTTATTTTTTTTAATATTTTTTCTAGATCTGAGAGGGGTACAATTTCTTCCTTTGAGATACTTGATAGAAATAATGACTGAAACAAAATGATTACAATTCCCAGAGGCACAAGTTCTGCAATAGAAGGCACACATCTAGGTAGGGCATTGATTGCCAATGTTTCTGTTGTGACATTTCTCCTCTTGGTCACACCAACATCACTAGGCTAACTCATGATTTTCCCAAAATGCTGCAGTGGGTCACATGGGATGCAAGAGCTCTACCACTGGAGTGGTACCACTTACTACCACTAACTAGCAATACATCCCTGCCTGTCTAGGATTAGATACACATAGCCCTGTCATAGAATGTGACTTAGATTATGCTAATTAATACAATGAACAATTCCACGATAAACCACTTGATAGATGCAGTCATGCAGGTGAAAATAAATCATTCCTTTGTTACTAGTAGAGCCTCCATATGGGGAAAAGGGATCCTCTTCAAAGTACAGGACAGAATTTGACTGTCACCTACTTGGACAGCCATTGGATTGCCCTGGAAGACAGAAACCTGTTATTACCCCACTGAACAGAAAGCAGAATTCTATTAGTAATAAACTCAGGGAAGTGAAGAAAGAAAGGGAAGGAGGGAGAAAGGAAAAAAAGAGGCTGAACTATTATCACAATTTTCAATTCCAAATTTTATATTTCTTCTGAAGAAAGGGTAATAAAATTGTTGGGCTAAACAAACGTATCCCTCCAATTGAGAGAGTTCTGCCTACAGACCAAGGAGATCATTCCTTTAACCATTGTGACTATTTAAGGCTGAGTGTCAATATCTTTCTGTAAAATATTCAGGCCAGAGAGTGTCTTTCTGCATGGTGGTCCAAAATCAGCAATCTATCTATACTTTTATTTTTCTCATCTTCAAAGGTACTGATTGCAAATGATGACACTTATTTCAGATAATAACTTTTATCTTTTTATCCCTGTTTTATCAGTGGGTAATATGGTGCCTTGCATAGGATAAATGTTTAATAAATATCTGTCTGGCAAATAGATGAATGAAAGAATGCAAACATTCACAAAGCTAATATGAAGTCAGGGGTGCATCTTAGCCTTATTCTCCTTGCTCATTACCTCTTTTTGCTCTGTGATCAGGTTTTGTCACCATTAATACAAGTTTAAAATATGGACATTAATAATTACCAATCTATGCTGTGAAATGAGGAAGAAAACCACGAAGACTTGATTGGTTTAAAAATGCCCTCTTAGGGAGCAGATAATATTCGGTACATAAGAAGAGGTAAGAAACTTCAGAAATTTAATAATAAATACTGTGTTTTAATTAGATTCTGCCAAGAAACATTGCTGTTCCATACTGCAAACTCTCAGAGAAGCTGGGGCTCCGCCCTATTCTGGCTTATGCAGACTGTGTCTTGGCAAATTGGAAGAAAAAGGATCCCAATGGGTATGTAATTTACAATCGGAACATTAATTGAAGGGGTATATTCTCTTGAATCCAAAAGGTCATTAAATGTTGATTTAATTTTTCTCAGTACAATTCTGTTGCGGCGTATGGTTTTTGACTGTTGTAAATATGACCAAAGAATTGTACATATATGAGAGAAGTTTAAACGGGACAGAGAGTGAAAGGTTCAAACCTAGGTTTTCAGTTTGATAAAATTTCCACAGGTAATGGCCACTGAAAGAAAGAGATTGAATATATATATCATTCCAGGAAGTTATTTTTTGCAGTTCCAAATCCCGTTAAGTTGCCTGGTGGTGCAGGCAATAATATGTCTGATTTGTTTCACCAAAAACTAAGTTTGTTTTCTGTTATTGGATCTCTGGTAAGTATAATCATAGAATATGAGCATTTAGTATCTGTTTTGTGTTTTTTGATTAATCTGCTTTTAAAATTTTACAAATTTAAGATGTAAGCAGCCAGTTGTATTAAACATCACCACGTTTTCCTACCTAGAGGTGGAAGTCCCAATCTAGGCCCCTAGGAACCATGTAGCGATGGGCTCTTCTCCACAAAGGGATGAGTACACTGTCCCCAAGGCTGGGAGCTGTATCTTCACAGGTGCTTTCCAGAAATTGCGATACCCAAATTGAAAGGGCTTGATTCTTATTCACCTTATTAGTATCTACCGATTCTGACTACCCATGTTTGCTCCTTTCAGATTTCGTCCTGCTTCACTTTCAAAGTCCCAAGTGCTTGTAATTTCTACTAAAAACAATAAAAGTCACTATACAATTTTTTTACCTATGTTATACTTTTGCTAGATTAGTAATATTACATTTCTTAACAATAATTTTAAATCATTTGATTTGTAAATTTCTTTTTCTTTCTTCCAAATGACTCATTGTATCCTGGTTGATTTCATAGACCCTTGACTTACGAGTAAGTATTTGTTTTGTTGTTTCACTCTCAAAATTATTTGTTATTTTAAGTGAATATAAGTTTATCAAATCCCCCAAATGGATTAAAAAAAAAATCAGTTCGATTCTGTCATAAAAGTAACTCAAGTAGTTATTTAAAGAATGAATAAGTTCGGCTCTTGATTATATCTGTGACTGAAGTCCTGGTGTCACAGTGGTTAGATTGTGGGCTTCTTGGTCTACTAACCATGAGGTTAGAAGTTCAAAATGACCAGCTGATCTTCAGAAGAACGACGAGGCTTGCCACTCTCATGAAGAGTTCCAGTCTGAAGTCCACAAGGTCAATTCTACTCGGTCCTATAAGGTCGCTATGAATTGGAATCGGCTTGAAATCAATGAGCTTATTTTCTCTTTCTCTTTTTTGGTTTGGTGATATGACTGTGTCAGCTTGATACTTTAGGTACTTACAGATCCATAAATACAACCTGAATGAATATATATGCAATCAATATGCATAAACACCAAATGCACACATATCTGGGTTTCTATGACCTACTGACACCTGTGGCTAGAATTAGTTGCCAGGATTGATAAGTAGTCATATAAAAAACTTTTCCTTTTTTAGCCAAACCTTACTCCAATGTTTAACATATGTTCTGAGAACACATCGAGAGCTAGGACACAGACAAATCCTTTAAATTAGCCTTCAGACTCTCTGAGTGGTGGAAGCCACCAGCACACTTGGAGCTTCAAGCCCCTTCAGACGCTCAGAGGAAGCTCAGAGGAAAAGCCCGGACATGTACTTGTGAAAACGCAGCCGTTGAAAATCCCTGGTGGCAAAAGTTCTGCATCACTATGCACCGCATCACCGTGAGCCCCAATCAACTTGAAAGCAACTGGCAAAGCCTGTCCTCATGAAGTTAGACCAATGCAAAAAAGAGCCGCATCTACAATGATAAAAATTGCTATATAACGTATACAGTTTAAGCTGCTGTCGCTGTTAGGTGATCTGGGGTGGATTCTGGCTCACAGGGACCCCGTTTCTGAGAGTAGACCTGCCTCACATGGTTTTCTTGGCTGGAATCTTTACAGGAGCCGATTGCAGGTGTTTCTGCTGCAGAAACTCAGGATGGGTTTGCACTGCCAGCCCTGCACGTTAGCAGCAAAGTCCTTAATAGCATGTGACCAGGAAGCTGTAGGAATGAACTGAAGGAAACTATGTAATGTGTTCTGAGTGGAGGGAAGAGCTAACGGGAAAACTTTGGATGGTCAAAACCTTTGTGCACGGTCAGAAGTTAAGGGTGGATAGCAGATTTGACACACCAACTCTAACGAGGAGAAATATATATATATGATAATCATATATGTCATCTATATATGATTAAGGAGGACAATGCTGTCTCCTATGAGAATTTTAAACATATCTTAAACAGGAAACTATTGAAGATTTAAAACTGAAGCATGGTATCATCAGTTTCATTTTTTAAATGGGAACAATGAAACAGATGCAATAGCTTCCTCAAGGTCACATAGCACGGAAACGGCTTCAGGACTATGACGCTAATGGCCACAGCATTCATAGACATATCCACCCTGAGATCAAGTTCAAGCCAACTCAGAAATGTGGTCACAGAAAACTGGTCTACCCTGTTATTTAAATTACCAATTTCTTTGTAAAGCACATCGCCTTAGAGTCTGTGAGCAACTGAAACAAATTAGCAAACATATTTACTAAGGCATTGGAAGACTACTTCCTTAAGCAATATCTCCCAGAGACCGCAACAAATTTTGAGTATACAATATATGGTAAATTTAATATATATACACATACCACCATCAAATCCAATCTTATTCGTAGTGACTTTCTAGCTGAGTAAAACTGCTCCTTTGGGTTTCTAAGACTATAAATATTTACAAGAACAGGGAGCCTTATCTTACACAGCGTGTCTGCTGAGGTTTGAACTTCTGATCTTCTAGTTAGCAGCCGGAAACATAATCCACTGTGGCACCAGGATGCGTGTGTGTGTGTGTGTGTGTGTGTGTGTGTGTGTGTGCGCGTAAAGTAGAAAAAAAGGGGAAAAAAAATCTGTTTTTGGGGTTTAAGAAGTTCAACTGCCACCTTAACTTGCTACTTAATATATGACCTTAGACAACCAATCTAACTAACAAAACGGATTCAGTCATCATACATAATGGGAGTAGTAAAACCTGTCATCTGTATTTCACAAAAGTATTTTGATAGCTGAATCGGATAAATAAGCATGTTTTGCAACCATGAAATACTCTACAATTACACAGAATTAAAAAAAAAGTATTGCCCTTTTCCTTAGGAACATGGACATTCTGTTCTTCTTTCCTGGTGATGGCTGCGACAAAGGGTTCTTCCTGATGTCCCTCCTGGTGGAAATAGCAGCAGCTTCTGCAATCAAAGTATGCCCAGCCACCCAGGAACACTTAGCTCTTGAGTGGCATAGCACACCAATCCTTTACTAGTGGAAATATACTAAGCACAAATTACATTCATTTATATTAACATTCTGACTTCAGGAAACATTTGATTGTTTAATTAAGAACAGGTGACCAATCTGATAGAAATACCTATTTTGTCCAATTCTGTGTTATCACTTAAAATATAAAATATAGGTACAAAATAGATATAGACAGCCAAATTTGAAACTTCAAAGATAAGCAAATATTTTCCATGCCATTTGGCATTGGAATTATAACCCATAGTGACATAGTTCTAATGTCTTTTACTATAATGTGAACATATGTAAATATTTTTTAAACAATGGAAGTATGATATAAGCTTATCTTTAAATTCAAACTGGATAAAGAACATTAGCCACCTGCTGAAAGTATATGCAACTAAGGAAAGGAGTGGAAAATTGCATATTTACTTCAGGAATTAATAACTTAGGGGTAATATTTTCTTTGCCATTTTTTTTCTAGGAATTTCAAAATGTTTTCTTTCTTTTTCCTTCTCCCTTTAGCAAATTCCCAGTCTCTTAGATGCCGTTCAACAGCAGGACCAGGCTAAATGTAAAAATGCCCTGAGTGAGATAACTTCTTGCCTCTTCAGAGTCCATGAAGTGTTTGAAGAGATCCACAGTAAGTGTGTTTTGCAGTACTAGGCTCTAGGCTGCCAGGGAAATGTTTTGATTATCTGCAGTGGTGGAGGAATAGGAAGCGAAAACAACATTCTCTCCGTGTGCTTCCAACGGACATAATTTATCTCAACCAAAACACTCTCTGTAATATATTTTATTATTTCTGTCTTACAGATAAGACTATCTTAATCCAGGGAGATAGGTGTGTAATCTAACGTTGCATAGAAATTAAACGGGAAACTTGCCGAACAAACCAGTTGCTTTAAGTCCTAGAAAACTTGAGGCTGACTCGGAGCTCTCTGCTAAGTCTGGGTTTTTACAAACTAACCAAGGAGCAACAGAGAAAATGCATTGAGCTCAAAAGTGCTTGTAAAACGAGCAATTCAAACAACAATAAACAGAGATTAGCAAAATAATTGTTTTACTAGGGGACAACCTAACAATGATGTGACTCTTTATTAGTGGTAGGCTTTGAGTTGTTGCTTATTAGTCCTTGGCAAAGAGATGGGTTTCCAAATCATATGGGTTATTAAGCTTTAAGGAGGAAGACAGTAATATAGTGTCTGTGTGCATGCATGTGTGGGTGCGTGGTTTCTTTCTTCTGTAGGTATGTAATTAGCCTTCATGTCCATGATCACAGGAAGCAGTGCTGAGGAAAGGTTGATAGTTTTATCTGTTTGGTGTCTTGATGATGAGTAAGCCCAGGGTCCTAGATAGTGGCCTGAGAAGCAGGCGTAGCCTGTTCTGTGAAGACCTGTGACGAGAGGGCTTCACCTGGTATTTGTCACATGATTGTGTACTTGACCTAAGGGACATTTTTTTCTGAAAAAAGGTGGCCCAATGTCTTTCCTGAAGTCTGTCAGGAATTAAATTCCAATTGTTTAAAAGACCGCTCTTTCTTATTTTATCTAGTATAGTTTCTCACCATAACTCTGATGCCACTTCATTAAATTTACGCCATCTTTTCACAGACCATGTGGACCCAGATGTATTTTTCAATGTTCTTCGAATATACTTGTCTGGGTATGTAGTTTTATTCTTGAATTTGTTTAAAAACATTAAAGTAGCTGCTATTGAGTCAATTCTGACTCACAGCAAGCCTGTTAGGCTGAGTAGAACTGCTTTGTAGGGTTTTCAGTGCTTATGGGTACAGAGAGCCTCATCTTTCTCTCTCAGTCAACTGTGAAAGAACAAATCTGCAGTGATAGTCCCCAATGACATCAAATTTAGGTGACAATTTTTCCTCAAATTTAAAAATACATGTTTGGAAAAAGAATAATTTACCTGTTCCTACTCATCTGGGGATTCACCGGAGGGTCCTGGAGAGCTAGTCATTTAAAGAAAATGCTGATGGCTGCTGTGCTCAGAATTATGCTTAATAACTGGGCTGTTGACAACACGCTGGTAGTTTAAACACATCCAAAAGCGCCTCAGAAGAAAGAGCTGCTGCTATGTTTCCAAAATCCCACTGCAATGAAAAAGCCATGAAGTTTTTCCGATCCGAAACACACGAGATCAGCACAAGATACATGACTTAGAGAGCAACTGCCTTCCTTTGGTTCAGTCTTCCTCTGTTCATAACTTACCCTCATTCGTGGAAATAATCAGGGGGAAAAAGACATGGTAGAAGACTCTGACATCTATCTAGCCAATATGGCCTTCTACTGATCCTCTGTTTTGAGATTTTTATATCTGAATATTGACAATCCAATGACATTTGTTGCCAGAGGGTCTCCTGTATGACCATGAGACAAATCAATTGGACAATAATTGATTCAGCCTCTCTACTTTCATGACTTATCTTTATTCATGAAAGTAATCAGAAATAAATAATGTGAAAAGAGGTGGAAGAAATCTACCGAATCCACAAAACCTTCTATTCACCCATTGTTGCAAAATTTTAAAATCTGAATTTTGACCATTAATCAATAGAACTTTTCTTTTTCCTTTCTGTTCTAGTTGGAAAGGCAGCTCACTGCTGCCAGAGGGTCTCCTGTATGAAGGGGTCTGGGATACCCCCAAGCAGTTTTCAGGGGGCAGTGCCGGCCAAAGCAGCATCTTTCAGTGTTTTGATGTCCTGCTGGGCATCCAACAGGAACATGGTGAGTGGGTGATGACAGACAATGATCACCATTTGTTAAATTTTGTAGCATTGTAGGATTCATAGTTTAAAGCTTAGTCATGGTGAAACATGGACTATTGTAAGAGCAGATTCAGAAAGAGAAAGCTACCTACACATGAGGCAGGACTGAGTTGAAGAGGAGAAACAGAGGCTGTAATATCAAGGAGCGGGTTGGGCACTGTTCACTGTCTACTCTCATGTCCTCGCCCCCCAATGGTCCAGTGACAATGCCTTTGTCTAAATGTAAAGAGTGGTCACATTCATTATGTTCTTCCTTGGGACTTGGAAAAGGGAAGACCGTTTAACTTCTCTCTGTTGCCTAAACTTCTACTAATAGCCAAAGAGGGAAAGACTGAGTTGGATAAAATAGGCTTTTGACTTAATATTAAGTATTTCTTAAACTCTCCTATAATTGGAATCATGATCTTTTATGAACATTTTATATATACTCTACTTAAATCACCATCATTGCGATCAAGTATGTTAAGAGAGTGAGAGGAAGCACTAATTTAGTGTTTTCACAATGAAAAAATGGATTGGGCTAATATGCTTTTCAAAACTATAATTTTGTACTCATAACAGTTATCACTGCTAGGCACAGGACTAATAATCTTTAACTGTCAAATAGAATAGGTGTTACTTCAATGTTTTCTGCTGTGGTTTGGGCTGTGATCTCTCAACCACACTGATTGCATTCATATCCTTTCTTATAAATTTTAGTTAGGGTCTGTGTTGATATCCCATGGAATCTTGGAGTGACACAAATGGCTTAGCACTGAGCTATGAATGAAAGGCTAATATTCTCAACCCACTCAGCAATGCCTGAGGATGCACTTCTAAAAGATTACAGCCATGCAAAAATATGAGGCAGTTTTAATCTGAAATACATTGGTTACCTTAGAAAAATAGCCTCCACAGTGATTGGTTTTTTTCTTTAGTTTTTTTTTTTTACTCCCCTTTCTACCTTAATGTTCCTTTACCTTTAGGATCTGCTGCTGAATTCCTCCAGGAAATGAGGACTTACATGCCACCAGCTCACAGAGCCTTTCTTGAGTCACTGGGGAAAGGTCCCTCGGTTCGAAACTTTGTCCTTTTAGAGGGAGACGATGTCCTGAGAGATATTTATAATGCATGTGTGAAGGCTCTTGTCTCCCTGAGGGACTACCATTTGCAGATAGTAACCAAATACATTGTGATTCCTTCAATAAAGAAGCAAACAACAAAGTCAAAGCCTGAAGATTCATCGGAACAATCAGAACCCCAAAACAAAGGAACCGGGGGCACTGATCTCATGACATTCCTAAAGAGTGTACGAGATACCACTAAGAAATATCATTTGATGGAGGATTAATGTGACCCCAGCAAAATTTTATGCCAGGAGTAGACAGGAGTATACATTCCTGTCATGGACCTAATAGTCAATAATATTCATTGTCCATCAAACTGGTTGTAATCCATAGAGCATGCAATAGTTTATAAATCCCGCATTACAAAACATTTCAACATACAAAAGATTCTGTTGCCTGTAGATTTCTTGAATGAAAATAACAAAAAAATAGTGATTAAAAATTACAAACAAATCTGATTATGTGTATATTCGAATGCAATAAAGAAATTCAATAAATAAAATGTTCTATAAGATAAAATGGTTGTTGCTCTTATTGTTAGGTGCAGTTTAGTAAATTCTGACTCTGTCCTGCATCATCGTCACAATGACTATGTTAGAGCTCATTGTTGCGGCCACCGTGTAAATCTGTCCTTTTCCACTAAACCTCTACTTTAGCAAGCGTGCTATCCTTTTCTGGGGACTAGTCTCTCCTGATAACATGTCCAAAGTGTGGGAGACAAAGCCTCACCATCCTCACTTCCAAGGAGCATTCTGACTGCTTCTTCCAAGATAGATTTGTTTGATCTGAGAGTCACAGTATGTTCAATAGTCTTCAGCAATACCACAGTTCAAACGCATCAGTTCTTTGTATTCATTGTCTAACTTTCACACAAATAGGAGGCAACTGAAAATATTATTGTACATATTATGGTTGACTTCAGGCATGCTTTAGTCCTCAAAGTGATACCTTGGCTCTTTTAACCCTTTCAGGAGATCTCGTTCAACACATATTCCCAAGGCAATATGTTGACGGTATCTTGACTGCTACTTTCATGAGCACTGATTTTTCACCCAACCAAAATGAAATCCTTGACGACTGAATCTTTTCTCCATTTATCTTAATGTTATCTATTGATTCAGTTGTAAGAATTTAGGTGTTCTTCCCCCCCTGAGTTGCAATCCATGTTGAAATTTTAGTCTTTACTTTTAATCTGTAAGTATTTTCAGGCCTCCTTGCTTTCAGCAAGGAAAGTTATGCCATCTGTATATTGCATGTTGTCAATAACAATCTCTCCAATCTAGAGAGTGGATTTTTCTTCATAGAGTCAATCCTTATATATGAATGTATGCAGCCTTGGGCAAACCTTTCCTGATTTTAAGCCATGAGCTATCCCCTTGTTTGGTTGAAATTACTGCTTCTTGGTCTATGTACAGGTTCTTTATGAGCACAAGGAAGGGTTCTGGATTGCCCATTCAAATACCTTTGCACAAATACTTTAGCATTGTGTAAAAGACAAATTTCACAGTGATATTCTCTGCTTTCAACCAAACTCCATCTCGTGTCCCTTATGGCAGGTCTGCTTTTGAAACCAGCTTGAATCTTTGGTTGCTCTCTCCATGTCCTGCAAATATTTGATTTAGCTTTAGCACACTTCTTGAAGGTGATATTAGAATTATTGTACCAGAATGCCCGCATTATTTGGGGTCATATTCCTTTGAATGGTCATAAACATGCAGCTTTTCCATTCAATGACCAGGTAGCTGTCTTCCCAATTTCTAGACATAGAAGAATGAGTGTTACCAGTGCTTCATCTGCTTGTTGAAACACTTCAATTGTTATACCTTTAATTCCTGGAGCCTTGCTTTTCACTGATGCCTTTCGCCTTCAGTGCAGTTCAGACATTTTCACTCAATGTCATTTGTTCTTGATTATATAATACTCCTAGAAGTGGTTGCAGATCAAACAGTAATTTTTTTGTGTGCACTACTGCTATGTAGTCCTTCCATCTTCATTTGAGGTTTCCTGTATCATTCGATATTTTCCTGTGGATTTCTTCAATAGTGTAATTCAATGCTAGATTTCAACCCCGCCCCCCCAATTCTTCAGTTTAGCCTATGCTGAGTAACATGTATTTGATCTTTGATTTTTTTTTTTCTAACCAGGTGGTTGCACCTTTCATAAAACTTCATGAGTTGCCTTTGGCAAGTTTCTTTTCAATTCTCTTCATCAGTTCTTCCATTTCCGTTAGCTACTTTTTGTTCAAAAGCAAGCTTCTGATTATTTTCTGACATCCACTTTGGTCTTTTCTTTCTTTCCTGTCTTTATAATATTTTTCCTGGTTGTGAGATGTTTTTGATGTAATACCACAAGGCATCACATCATTAATATTATCTTGTTTTAGACAGGATTATACTTCAAGAGAGATCTTGAAATATTCTTATTGATGATGAATTCGCTACCATTCTTCATGAATTTGTCAATCTGGAATAGTAAACCGTATGACTATCTGGCTCAAAATCGTCAATACCAGTCATTCTAGCTCTTAATGCCTAGGATTAAGAGCCATGGTGTTGTAGAAGGTTACATATTACGTTGCTAACCTCAAAACTAGGGGATCAATCCACCAGCTACTCTGCAGGTGGAAGATGAAGCTTTCTGGTCCTTTGCAGAGTTTCAGCCACAGAAACTCAAGTGGGTCAGTTCTAGCCTAGTCTACAATGTCACTGTGAGTCAGAATATAGTCCACAGTAGTGAGTTTTTTAGTTATGCCTGGGCTATTGATCCTTATGCATTTCACTTTTGAAGCCTGTTTTTTTTTTTTTAAACATTTTATTAGGGGCTCATACAACTGTTATCCCAATCCATACACACATCAATTGTGTAAAGCGTATTTGTACATCATTTCTCAAAACATTTTCTCTCCATTTAAACCCCCGACATTAGGTCCTCATTTTTCCCCTCCCTCCCCACTCCCCCCTCCCACATGAGCCCTTGATAGTTTATAAATTGGTATTTTGTCATATCTTGCCCTGTCCAACGTCTCCCCTCATCCACTTTTCGGAAGCCTGTTTTTTTTCTCTTAATTCATTCTTCAGACATTTGCTATTCCTCCTGATTTAATGTCATTTCCTGTCAGCAAATGAAAGTCCCAAAGACTTTGTACCATTTATATCATTAAGGTGTACCCTAGTTGGAGGAGGCCTTTCAGCCAAAGAGGCTTAACTATTGACACTGTGTCTGAAATTATTCCACTACTATTTACAAGGTTTTCAGTGGCAAAACCTCAGAAGGACAGCCTGTGTTAGACCAGGTTGACCAGAGAAACAAATCCAAAGACACTCATATATGTGTAAGAGAGAGCTTTATATCAAAGACCAATTGCATATTGAGAAAACATCCTAACCCAGGCCAGATCAAATTCATAAGTTCACTATTAGGCCATATGTCCGATACTAGTCCATAAATTCCTCTTCAGATTCACGTTGCTACTCACTATGATTCCGAATGCAGGAAGATCACAGATCAATGGGTGAAAAGCCTTGTGGATCCAATGGCAGTGGCAGCATTACCGGGCTATGGCTGCCATTAGCGTGAGCTCATGTGGCTTGTCAACAGGAATGTGAAACAGAGAGAGAGTGTGGCCCACCTCTTCTGATGGCAGGATCAAGAGAGAGAAAGGTCCCAGAATCTTCATGAGAAGGCCATGCCCACAAGGAGGTATCATCAGGCTGTGACTTGATTGACAGGCGAGACTCCACCCCTTCACTCTTAATATCCTCAAATTGACACGAGATTATGTAACTACCACACAGCCTACTCCTTCTTCATAATCTGTTCTTTGTCTGGAAGCTCAGCGCTAACGTTTCCAACCATTGGTTGCCCTGCTATCATTTGAAATACCAGTGGCATCGTTTCTAGCATCATAACAACACTTAAGGCACCACAGTAAGATAATCTGACAAATGAGTTGTGGAAAAGTTAGAAAATGAAAACTTACCTTAGTCATGATAATAATTAAATAGTCCCTGGATGAGCACTAACTCCATTGACATTACCTAAAACTTTCTACTGACTCCTGCTGTAGGTTGGTTAATAGATTATTGCACTGTCCCTCTGGAATAATTATTTCTTTACTTGTCAATATTAGCTTTGGATTGTAAGCTTAATGAGAACTTGGCTATCTCTGTCTTCTGCCACCACCATGTGTCTTCAGTAGTTAGTAAGTGAATTAAAAACACATTTTTAATGCTTTCTTCTTTATGAGACTACAGTTAACTAAGTGCTAAAAAGACCATTTCTTGTTATTTGATCCAAAACATTCTCGGTGATTTTTACATTGGTTATGTTTCAGCAGAGGAAGTAATGAAGCGTGTGACTCCCATTTGCACACTTCTTACATGTTGTACTTTCAAGAAATGTTTTCTCAGCAGTTTCATAAACCAATGACAATTTATGTATACTACAACTATAGCCATAAATATTCAAAGATAATTTCCTTCGGTATGAATTTTACCTCAATATCTAAAACCCAAATTCAGTGCGTTAGATGGATTCTGGCTCATAATGACCCTGTACCAAAAAAGTCAAACTCACTGCCATCGTGTCAATACTGACTCACATTGACTCTGGAGACAGAACAGAACTGCTCCTATGAGTTTCTAAGACTGTAACTGCTTATGGAATTAGAAAGCCCAGTCTTTCAGGGCAATGCATAACTATCACTTTAGGTTTCTGAAACTTTAAATCTTTATGAGAGTAGGCAGTCTTATCTTTCTCCCTCTGAGTGGTTAATGGGTTGGAGCAATTGACCTTATGGTCATCAGCTCAGTGTGTAGTCCACTACACCACCAGGTATCCTTTAATTCAACATAGTCAAAGCAAAGATCTTTACAATTGGACCACCAGCCGACATCACAACAGAAGGGGAAAGGTTGAAGTGATCAAGTATTTCACTTTACTTGAATTGATAATCAATGACCATGGAAGGAGGGTTGGGAAATCACACATATTACCTTGGACAAATTAACAGTGAAAGATCTCTAAGATTTTTTAAAAAGCAAAACTTTGAGGACTACAGTGTGTCTGACGGAAGTCAAGGTATTTTTAATCCCCTCGTATGCATGTGAATGCTCGAAAATAAAAAGAAAAGACCAATGAACAATTGATTCCTTTAAATTAAGGTATAAGAAAACAATAGTGAATATACCATCCATAGTGAATATTGCAAGAAGAATGAACAAATTAATCTCAGTAGAAGAACAGTCAGAATATGCCTCACTAGCTAGAAGGATAAGACTTCATCTCACTCATTTTGGACATGTTATCAGAAGTGGTATGTCTCGGGATAAGGTAAAGTTGTTTCTGCTACATGCTATTCAGACAATTTGATTTACAATGGGAACAAAATTTGGCTTGGTCCTGCACCATCCCATAATCATTGCTATGTCTGAGCCCCTAGTTTCAGCCATTGTGTCAATCTATCTTGTTGAGACTTTTCCTTTTTCCCTAACCCTCTACTTTAC